CAGCCAATAGTATTGTCGTTTGGGTCCAAAACTGGAATTTTGATATGTTTTGAAAATGTTTCAATTAATTGGCGCATACACTATTTAAAGTTTACGCAAACATTTTCTTTTATTGACCTCGATCGTGACCATTAAATAGTGTAATTTCAAACGTTTTAAATGTTTGAAAACATGTTCGAAACATTCAATTTCTTTTCACTTGAAATTTGTATGCGTCAATTGTTGCGTCAATTTGCTTGCGTCAAAATTTATTCCGCACGACTCCAGTTTTTAATCAAAACCACAATACAACAACGTTATAATAGTTCACAAGTTATTAAAATAAACAGCAATTTTATTATTAAATTTGTATTTCTCCAATCCTAAAGGAATGACCTCTTAGAAGATATAAAATGTGAAGTATTCTGTCAATTCCAGAACAAAATACGAAACGAAGAAAACACAACATGTCATCCATCATACGTGGACTGCGCATGGTCTTCTTGTGCCGCTTGGTTTGCGCTGGGCGTTATGATAATAATTCCATGCCATCTTCATAGTCGATGTGGGTGATAAACCCCTTGATTTTATGGTATCTCGCATGATTGCAGATGACATTCTTCAGTGCGTTTTATCCCGAGTTTTCTGTTTAAATGAAGTCATTTTCTCAATTTTGCTGCAACTGTAATGTTTTTGAGCTTCAACTTAAGGTTAGTCGTTCGAATTTGTGGTTCGTAATCATGGATAATGTCATTGACGTCAAATTGAATCTATGACTGGCACAACCAATAAAGCATGTTCGTGTTTTTGTGCAAAGGAACCATCGCGCGTACAATCATCGTCCTTCAGAACTAAGTCGGTAGACCAAGACTTTCAATATAACCCACGCACATAAAGATTGTCATTGTACTCCTGTGCATTCAACGAAACCTCATCTTTTCCAAAGTGACAGATCAAGATGCGCAAGTCGGTAGCCCAGTGTAGAATCATTAGTAAAGGAAGCAAACACAACCATGAAATGAGTTGGACCTATCGTTGACCCGTTAAAATGATAGCGAAATAAGCTGAGAAATCCCGAATTTTTTTCTCGCTGGATCAAATGTCGCATGTAAGTAACCAAGGTTTTGTGGGAGTTTGGAGTAAATTTGGAGTACGTTGATGATATTTCGTTCTTGCAGGAGCTGAAGGCATGGACATGACCTCCGTCACAACCAGCCATGAATGTCGTGGACTTTTCGAGTAATAAGTGTCCATATATTGAAAAATGTATTGCCTTGGCCCGCTCAAAGAGATTGAAATTCGAGATATTTTCTTGTGACATTTTCACAAAAATATTCGTTGTGTCACGTTCTCACAGAGCAGAGAGTTTGACTGTGGCTCTACCAATCAGAGACTTGCCAGTGTACATGGTACCGGCAGTGTGGTCATTTCAATTTTGGGGATGGCGGAAACTGCAGGCGTGAAATCCAAGCGCAAAACTGCATTCAGGTTCAAGGTGTCTTCAGACGTGGAGCTTCTAAAGGAAGTGATACACATTCAACCGTTTGCGGCGTCATACGGCCAAACAAAAGCTAGATGGGAGGATGTTGGTGTAAATATGTGCAAATTATATGGAGATGCCATAATGGATACAGGCTGGCGTGTCAGGTTCGATGACCTCCTGTCTGCGTTAAGAAAAGCTACGACTGCTTCACTCAGAGCCTATGGAACAGAGGAAGAGTACGAGGTGCAAGATCAACTCCTGCAAAACATCTACGACCTCGTACGTTGCCACTCACACATTATAAGTGATTATATTGTTAACCTTAGATAGAAAACTCAATGAATGCAAAAGAAGCAAGCAAGAGCGAGAAATTGGCAAACTCGACAAGCGTGAAAGTGATGGAGAAAAAATTCGCGATGCCGCAATGGGAAGATTAAAGCGAAGTCTTGTTGAATCTTTAATGATGACGACGAAATTGATCCATCTCCAAGAAACAAACCTCCCTCTCTGTTTCATTGCAAATCACTGATACGTCGCGTGCTGTTAATGCCATTTACTAGATTGTGGAGAAAGTATGCTTTCAATGACCGTAGGATGTTTACTATACCTATCACCGTCGAAGCGCATGTGACAACGTCAAGGAAGTAGTCATGAAAAACAACGAGGAATACCTAAGAAAGCCAGACAAACTAAACAAAACGGCTCAGGAAACTTGCATGCATGGGTGAATTTCCCCACGATTTAGCTTACCTTTAGTCAGCGAGTTAGTCGGCTGTCAATAGTGGTGGGTTGACAACACAGCGCAAGGCATCTAGCCCTTCATATTCCTCTCAATCCATTGATTTCTCCAACATTAAGCAATGTTGCCTAACTGAGTGAAAATTTACCATTATCAACTCGTACCAAAATGTTTCGTATGCTTCAGGGCGAAAGTGCAACCAAACCATCCGAACAAGACGTGCTTGCTTCCTTCGACTTGATCGCACAACAATTTGAATCAATTTGATCTTCTCAAGGCGGCAGTCGTCGCACGCGGCGTCACTCACAACTGAAATTATCGACAGTCGTCCGCGAGCTTCGCAGGCACTTTCGTACAAGTCATGAAATTGTTAATTGTCTCCCGTTTTAGGCAATTCCATGTGGCTTCACAACCGTCCAGCAAAATCCACCGAAACTTTAGTGTGATAAGGTGGAGTTGGGAAATGTAGCACGAGAAAACGATGTACGATGTAAGTGACTGATTTATAACATCTATAACAGCGACAGCTTGGCCGAGTGGTTAAGGCGACAGATTACTACCTCCGGTCCAAAATAAAAGTCCGATTGGCAAAATGTTGAAGATCCGAAATAAAAGTCCGCTGAAGTACCACTGTTAAACAAAAATAAATCCATACAAAAATCAATATATTCGTTTATTGCAGGTTCAATCCAAGAATACGTGGAATGAAATCAAGATTTTCACCGTCACTTTCGTCTTCGTCACCATCTTCTCCGGAAGACTCTATATCGAGCCCACCAACGCCAATGCCTTCTAATGCGGTACATATATCAGTCATTTCAATATCATTTTTGACCTCCTCCGCCAAAATTTGGAAGCGTTCTTCGAGGTCGAGCCCGTTGAGCAGCTCACAACAACGATTAAAGACACTCGTGTCGCAAGGCAGAACTTCAGGGAGCATTCCACTGGCCATCAACGACGACTTACGCATATGTGGTATCTTGTACTTGTTGTCTCCTTCCACTTTAAGAACTTCTTGCAGGCATGCCTGCAGAGTCAAAAAATTATTGTTCAGAGTGACAGAATCGACATCTCTCCAAGCTGAATTGGCCGAGTCGATGACATCTATCATACGACGTGAATGACAATTTTCTTGTAGGCTTTGGATTGCGCGAAAAAAAACCAAATCCAAGACATTCATGTCAGGTGAGTTTGGTGGCTGGCATTGTACGACAATATTCCAACCATCTTCATTGCAAGCAAGAGTCACATCATCGTCAAACGCAGCAGTATGTGGCCTTGCATTGTCTTGTTGAATGATGACATTTCTTGTAGATCCAAGTGGCCACTTATCCTTGATACTTGGAATAACTTTCGTAAGGAGCATCTGCTTGTACGTCTCTTTGTTCACCGGAATGGAGTGTAGCTCAAGGGTTCCTGCGGGTCTATTACGACTGGTTCGTGCAGCGGGCAGTTCTTCAACAAAAGGCCACAAACCGATTTTTCCATCGAACCATGAACCAGACGCTTCATCCCAGCGAGGCCGGGCTACTGCCGCGAGAAACATGATTTTGGTTATATGCTGCTTCGACCGTTCGGTACGATGAGGGGGTTCTTCGTCCGGGGTGAGGTAGTATGTCGTCTTGATTTTGGTGAGGAAAAACCATTTTTCATCAATGTGGACAACATCCATCATGCTGTCAAAGAACAGGCCACTGTTGTGTCTTACGTGGTCTAGCGCCCACTTGACCCGTGCATGCTTGTTGGCGTCACTGAGTTTAGGTCGTATGGTGCTCCTGTACTTGACGACTACACCACGTTTGAAATATCGCTGCAATGTGCTGTACGGTATATCAAGTGCTTTTGATGTTTTTCGAAGACTGGTTCGACGAGCCAGTGAGATATGCTTGATCCGCTCAGCCACACCCAACCACTTTTGTTTGCGGCCAACATTGCCAGCACGCCTGGACGACACATCCGAGCAGAGGACACGGCCACAGTTGACGTCTATGGCGGCTCGTTGCCAGATTCGAGAGATTGTTTTTGTCGTTACACCAAACTTCGCAGCCACTTGACTAATTGCGCCTGGTTTGAGCTTCATACTTGGAGACTGGACATACAGAAGAAGATGTTGGACGACACTCTGCCGCTCTTGTAGAGTAAGGTTCTTCATGGAAGCTGTCGAGAACTCAAAATGCCATGAAAAGCGCGGCAAAGTTCAGTATGATTATCCGGATCCGGATAATTGTAGCTTGATTAATGTATTGAAAATTTATTCGTTTTTTACGAAGTCTGGTTGGTTGGGTTTCGAAGTAGCATGGGTACCGTGGAATTCCCGCTAATCAGAGCTTTTTGAGTATGTTCGAGTTTTCGAAGAATTCGAAGTGTTGACTGAAAAACTGTGATTTGAAACTTATGAGACTTTTATTTTGGACCGGAGGTAGTACTACCCTGTTGGGGCAACCCGCGTGAGTTCGAATCTCACAGCCGTCGAGTTTTAAATCGATATATTCAATCTTTTTAACCATGGTACGCTCCACGTGGAGAATAAATTGCAGTTTTACCCTTATCACAGCCCAGACAATTGACTCAGTGAAACAGTACATGGATGTTGTCACAGCCCAAACAATAATCTCAGTGAAACATTAAATGGGTGTATCCCGAATGACTCAATACACATGAATGGACTTTTGGAATGAGAAATCAATGTTGCAAACGCATGACATCGTTAAAACGTGAAGAGTCGTCGATTTTGGTCATTGGGCAGGGGGTCCCTTGTAACAAATAGTAAGGCATGTTTGAAAGTGTAAATCATAAAAACGACGGCTGTGAGATTCGAACTCACGCGGGTTGCCCCAACAGGGTAGTAATCTGTCACCTTAACCACTTGGCCAAGCTGTCGCTTATGACATATCTATTACTTCGCAACACGTAAGTACGAGACTAAGTACGAGAGTAATTTTTACATACAAACGTCAAGTCAACAAATGAGCAATTTTTATATACTTTATCCAAGTACAAAATTAGCAATTTTTATATACTTTATCCAAGTACAAAATGAGCAATTTGCGACAAGTTCGTTCATTGTTGTCAGCACTTCCAACCAACATCAACTAATTTGACCACTCAAGGTTGTATTGCCCCATATCCATGGCAAATATCCATTTGTCAATTATTTGGTGTGTTGCTCAATACTCGGTGTCATATTTTGTCACAACTGCCACGTCCAGCATCATCGTGCACCCATGATGCTGGACGTGGCAGTTGTCGATAATATTAATAATCATTCCACATACAAAATGAAAATATATTGTCCTACTATTTAAAATAATACCTGCCAAAGACGATTGAATGGCAATTGGTTTTTTCTGGGACGATGCAAGATGAGATGCATGTCTTAGGATAGCTTCACTCGGGCAGAAAAGGCCGCTGAATAAGCGGTCAACACACTGTGCAGTAGGGTGACGAGCCCTTTCTGCCACTTTAAGCCATACCCTGGCCAGAGGCTTGGACTCCGAAAGGCGAATTCCGACGCGATATGCGAATGTTACGAAGTAGGGCCTTTTTGGCTCGAAATACCGGACATTTTCATAGAGCACAGCTAAAACGTGTGTTTTTACTGTATTTTCATATTGACTTTGGACGAGTAAATCCTCTCCCCATAGTTCAACTTTTTTACAGTAAGGGGACAATGTGTAACGTTGGTTACCACTATTGCAACTGATGGTGCTACTTTTTTTGACGGAGTACCACTGTTGATAGTGGGCCTATGGCGAGTAGATTGAAACACTTCAGGGGTGTTTCATGATACTTAGCAGGTGTATTACCCAGTATCAAAGTTTCAACTCATTATTGAACTCGATATTAAACAAAGTGATGTTTAATAAATACCGCGAATTCTGTACGATTTATGAAAGAAATGAGTAGTATTTTCTGGCAAACCATATTATGTTAAGCTTAAGTGGCGGGACACATATCCACAGTATTTTTACGATCCAATCACATTATCATTTTTGTGTTGATGTTTTTGTATGAACATTTGTCTGACACAGTTTTCTACGTAGAAAATAACAACTACTCGGCCTCTAAGAAAGGCAAAGGCAATTGCAGTCATGACAATGACAATCAAGGCCATGCGATCGATAACTCCGAACCTGGGAAGCAAGCAGAGCGGAATGAAGTGCATACTACCGAACAAGAGTCTGCATCAACTGGAGCTAATGGCTGGGCTGTGGATGACGATGCCTTGAATCAGGGCAATATTAACGACGAGGCGGCTATGAGAAAGGCCAACAAGGCGGAGTACAACAAACGTGCTCGCGAAAAGAAACGGCAAGCTCTCCTAAAGGCGGAGTACAACAATCGTGCTCACGAAAAGAAGCGGCAAGCTCTCCTAAAGGCGGAGTACAACAATCGTGCTCGCGAAAAGAAACGGCATGCTATCGTGGAAGACTTCGACAAAGAGGTGGCTATGAAAAGATCCAAGAAGGCGGAATACAACAAACGTGCTCGCGAAAAAAAGCACAACACTGAGGTTGCGAATCAAGGGCGGGGTGCCATCATTTTGCACCATACGGACATGGATAAGAGCGACGAAGAGGAAACCAAGGAGGGAGAAGACGGAATCCATTATCGCGCTCAAAGTGACCATCATCTCAAGATTCTGGCAGCTCAGGAGCAAGAAGATCGCGAGCGCAGAGTTGACAATCGAAGGATCTATGCTGCGCTACAACCTAACCGTATGAATGAAGGAGGTGAAGAAGAAACCAAGGAAGAAGATATTTCCGATGGAAATGTGGATTGCAACACTGACAATCAATTACTTGCCTTGGCAAATGCTGATCCTCCGCTAAACGTGGATGTGGATTTGATTGATGTACCTCCTCGCGAGCAAGGATTAAGTCTCCGGAATAAACCCAAGGGTCGCCCGAAGAAGAAGAGTGGTCACAACAGTGCACGCGTCAGTTTCGATGGCTTCGATGAATCATTGGTGCCTCTTCATACTATTGAGCAGCGTTCGATTTGCCGCCATTGCGAAGCGAAGATTTGGCCAGGCGAAGAAAAGGACTGCTGCGGTGGAGGCACTCGAGTGCTGCCTGTTGCTACCTGGCCTGACACACCCGAGTTTCGCGAATACATTGCTTTGTTCAAAACCAGAGGGTTTGTCAATAACACTCGCCGGTACAACGCCCTCTTTGCCTTTACATCTATTGGTACCCAAGAAATTATTCACGGCAACGGTGGGCCGAGATCTTATACAATCCAAGGCGCTTTGCATTATTTAATTGGACCAATGTTGCCTGCGGACAAAGAACAAGCCAGTAGAACCTCCACCCACTACATGCCACGCTCACATTGGACACAACCGTAGATTACCATCTAATGTTCGCCTTTCTCCATCTAGATATACTATATCTTCGACATGTTGGTAGTCGCCTTGAGCATCATCTAAGCGCATGATCATCAGTGTCTTGCCGTCAAATGCGCCGTGAATAGGACTGGGTACCTCGAGCGTCTGTATTATCACTGATAAGTCGTTCGTGTTATCTGTGCAAGTACTGGCATTTTTGCACAACAAAACAGGGAAACTATGGAGGCCAATTCGAAGTAAAATAAGAAAGAAGTGAATAAGGAGTGCGAAGTAAATGCCGTCTCCTTAGTTTCAAAATAATATGTTCTCGGATTGATAATTTATTTTTCTTTCGGTACGAGTCGACGGTTTTTTGGTCAGGACATGATTTATCTCCTGACGAAAAATAATATTCGTCAGTCAACAGTAGCCAATCAGAATGCTCGGCGTTAACTTATTTTTTTACTTCGAACTGGGCCTGAATCAAATTCAAAATTCATAGTATGGCTTCAAACGTTTCATGTGTGTGAGCAAATCTTTGTTATTTCCAAAGCAAAACGCTCCACCCAGGGGCGTAGCCCTGGCCTCACCCTAGTCTATTACTTAAGGCTCTGACGCAACACGTAAGTACGAGACTAAGTACGAGAGTAATTTTTACATACAAACGTCAAGTCAACAAATGAGCAATTTTTATATACTTTATCCAAGTACAAAATTAGCAATTTTTATATACTTTATCCAAGTACAAAATGAGCAATTTGCGACAAGTTCGTTCATTGTTGTCAGCACTTCCAACCAACATCAACTAATTTGACCACTCAAGGTTGTATTGCCCCATATCCATGGCAAATATCCATTTGTCAATTATTTGGTGTGTTGCTCAATACTCGGTGTCATATTTTGTCACAACTGCCACGTCCAGCATCATCGTGCACCCATGATGCTGGACGTGGCAGTTGTCGATAATATTAATAATCATTCCACATACAAAATGAAAATATATTGTCCTACTATTTAAAATAATACCTGCCAAAGACGATTGAATGGCAATTGGTTTTTTCTGGGACGATGCAAGATGAGATGCATGTCTTAGGATAGCTTCACTCGGGCAGAAAAGGCCGCTGAATAAGCGGTCAACACACTGTGCAGTAGGGTGACGAGCCCTTTCTGCCACTTTAAGCCATACCCTGGCCAGAGGCTTGGACTCCGAAAGGCGAATTCCGACGCGATATGCGAATGTTACGAAGTAGGGCCTTTTTGGCTCGAAATACCGGACATTTTCATAGAGCACAGCTAAAACGTGTGTTTTTACTGTATTTTCATATTGACTTTGGACGAGTAAATCCTCTCCCCATAGTTCAACTTTTTTACAGTAAGGGGACAATGTGTAACGTTGGTTACCACTATTGCAACTGATGGTGCTACTTTTTTTGACGGAGTACCACTGTTGATAGTGGGCCTATGGCGAGTAGATTGAAACACTTCAGGGGTGTTTCATGATACTTAGCAGGTGTATTACCCAGTATCAAAGTTTCAACTCATTATTGAACTCGATATTAAACAAAGTGATGTTTAATAAATACCGCGAATTCTGTACGATTTATGAAAGAAATGAGTAGTATTTTCTGGCAAACCATATTATGTTAAGCTTAAGTGGCGGGACACATATCCACAGTATTTTTACGATCCAATCACATTATCATTTTTGTGTTGATGTTTTTGTATGAACATTTGTCTGACACAGTTTTCTACGTAGAAAATAACAACTACTCGGCCTCTAAGAAAGGCAAAGGCAATTGCAGTCATGACAATGACAATCAAGGCCATGCGATCGATAACTCCGAACCTGGGAAGCAAGCAGAGCGGAATGAAGTGCATACTACCGAACAAGAGTCTGCATCAACTGGAGCTAATGGCTGGGCTGTGGATGACGATGCCTTGAATCAGGGCAATATTAACGACGAGGCGGCTATGAGAAAGGCCAACAAGGCGGAGTACAACAAACGTGCTCGCGAAAAGAAACGGCAAGCTATCCTAAAGGCGGAGTACAACAATCGTGCTCACGAAAAGAAGCGGCAAGCTCTCCTAAAGGCGGAGTACAACAATCGTGCTCGCGAAAAGAAACGGCATGCTATCGTGGAAGACTTCGACAAAGAGGTGGCTATGAAAAGATCCAAGAAGGCGGAATACAACAAACGTGCTCGCGAAAAAAAGCACAACACTGAGGTTGCGAATCAAGGGCGGGGTGCCATCATTTTGCACCATACGGACATGGATAAGAGCGACGAAGAGGAAACCAAGGAGGGAGAAGACGGAATCCATTATCGCGCTCAAAGTGACCATCATCTCAAGATTCTGGCAGCTCAGGAGCAAGAAGATCGCGAGCGCAGAGTTGACAATCGAAGGATCTATGCTGCGCTACAACCTAACCGTATGAATGAAGGAGGTGAAGAAGAAACCAAGGAAGAAGATATTTCCGATGGAAATGTGGATTGCAACACTGACAATCAATTACTTGCCTTGGCAAATGCTGATCCTCCGCTAAACGTGG